CATATATATCACCAAGGTAACGTAATCACAGTTTCGATTTAATGGTAGGTAGGGCTATTAATTCTAACAAAATTTCATCATTTAAATTAGTTCATTTTGATGCTTAAACTTGTGCTTAGGATGTTGTCCTGAAGGACGACGAAAGTTTTGCTGTTAAACCAACCAACTCCTCAGAGAACACAATTAATTTCAAATCATCCACCTAAGGTACAAATCTACTCTATTATTATTATTTCAAATTTGCTAGTATACACAAACAAGTGAGACTAGAAGTTAGTGTTTCACCTGCCATCCAATCATAATTGTTTTTTTGAAGGAGAACAAAAATATGTCTTGGTTCACAGGAATGTCAGTTATAACATATTCGACAGAGAAGTTTTTTATCTCAAGAAAATATTTACATACTGCCTATTCACAAGCTTCCAACCTGACCCAGACAATATACGTCATCTCTCGGTGTGTGTGTGTGTGACTAAATCGAAACCAGCAACCTAGAAGTTCCTCTTTCAATCAATTACTTGAAGGAACGAGGTCTCAGATGCATGTTTAATTACTAGTTCAAATTCAATAAACAATTCTGTGTACAAAGATATGGTGTAGCTATGATGACGTCTCCTATTGGTTCACTCCTAGCTGACTAATTTATGAAGAGTGTGGATAACAAACATCCTTGATCTTTCAGTTAGTCAGCTGCATTTCTATAAAAGGTAATTAGGTGATACGTTTATAATCTGTGATGGAAAAGTTGATTTAGATTGGCACACCAATCAATCAAATTCACTTTAGGACATGAGTCATACATGAGATTTCCATTCCTGGATGTGCTGCTTTCCAGAAGACAAGACTGTACCACCCAAAGAGCAATATATCACAAGTCAACATGGACGGGACAGTTTATCAGCTTCCAGAGGTTCGTTCCAGTAATCCGAAAACAAAGCCTAGTATGTACATTATGTTCAGTGATTAGAAAATATCTGTGTGTAAGACATGACAGAGAATAAAAAGACAGTTGCAGCGAAGAAAATTTTCTTTTCGACGAAGTCATCATCTAGGCTGTACATTCGTGTATTTATATCAAATGGATGGGAAAGTTCCTGAATAATTTCTGGTTAGGGGTTAAATTGATAAAACATTACCCAGCCTGGCTAGTGAAAGGAGAGCAAAAACGTGTAAACAGTTAAGTGACAGAACATCTGTTCAACTCAGGACATTCAGTGCCTTTCGAAAATTCCTTCAAAGTAATATACAAGATTCGATCAAACCTATGAAAGCAAGTGAAATTAAAACATCTGGGCATAATCGAGGCGCTAGCTATCCAAAAACTCAAACCCACTCTTTGTATCCAAAATAAGTACGTCCGACACCTATCCCTGCTATGGCCGTCATAAAAAGGTAAATTTTTTTGGTAATGACCATCCCATCGCCTTTCTTACCTAAACTTCCTGTTTATTCATGTTATTTTAAGTTTTCTTAATCCCTGCCTACACTACCATATTTTCATATCCACACTTCCTGTTTATTTCGTCATTTTACTATTTCTACATATTTAATCCCTGATTGCATAAACAATTATTCATCACATTAGTTTTTTATCCAAACATCCTGTATATTTTGTTATTTTTACATTTCTAACCCCCAATTGCACAATGTCAATCTTCCTAGTTACTATGCTACTTTGTTTGAGTTTTACCCATCCCCCTGTTTATTATGGCATTCTAATTCCTAATTGTAATTTTTATTAGTTTGACCCTTAACCGGAAATTATTCTGGAACTTTCCCATCCATTTGATACAAATACACGAATGTACAGCCTAGATGATGACTTCGTCGAAAAGAAAATTTTCTTCGCTGCAACTGTCTTTTTATTCCCTGTGATCAAATGTGTATATTAGATGACAGAGAATGAGATAAATTCGTTACGCCTCAAAACCTAGTGGAGAACGAGAATTCAACAAAATTCAACGACAAAAATATGAAGGAAATACCTCCATCACCAAAAATCACAACTGTTCCTAAGAAAACTCCCTTCATGAACCGAGAATTCATAGGTGACATTGAGGTAGGATTTCTTAGAAAAAGCCTTTCTAAATGTCTGAAGTAGATATTTCAAGCACACACCTTATACGTCACACCCTCCAGCAGATAAATCATCCAGTCGCTTAACGTTTAGGATAAGATACCGCTTTTGACCACCTCATTATGTGTGTGCATCAGTTTTCTTGTCCGTATCGAGCAAAGTATATCGGCTGGACGCAACATCAAGTCACAGAATCATTCTGAAACACTTTACAGCTTGGCTATCAAGGTGGATAAGTAAAGAAGAATTCTAGCAGCTCCATCTTCGAACACCTAGTCAACTCCAGACATCAAGTACCCTGGAATGAATGCTTCACAATGCTACACAGAGTTCATCAATATTACATGGAGGGACTTCATATACGTCATCTGTACACAGCTGAATCATTGGCTAATTGGGATCTGAAACCAGACCTCTGCATTCAAAAGCACTACATATATCCACTCACTCACCCAACCGTGGCCAGAGTAGCTTTCTTACTACACTTTTGCTTCATTTTATTATATAAGTTTACTATTATTATTATTGTTATTATTCTCATCATCTTTATTTTATTATAAATCTAATGCTGTTTATTAATAACAACGCGTTTTCATACAGATTTTATAATAAAACACTTTCTCCTCTTTCCACCAATTCTTGTCCACTATACACAATTATATTGATGGGTCATTTTTTCACGCCTATTACATCACCCCGAACTCTGCGTCCTGTTTCTAATTTCCAAATTAATCATCCCCTCCCAGATTACACCCCCTACATCAAGTTATAGATTCTCTAGCACAAATTTACTAATATTTGGTATGTATTATGAATACTTGTGGTGGACTGGATTATGCATCAGACAGTGGGGAACGAGAAGACAGGGATATCCTGGACCAACGTGAAGAACCTAGAAGACCTGGATTTCGCGGATGATTTGTGTTTGATGTCACACAAAATCGAAGCCTTACAAGCGAAAACCGACAAAGACAGGACTCCAGGTGAACAGAGACAAGACAGAAAATAACCAACCAACAACAACAACAGCAGCAACATCCAGCGCCAATCACCATCAACGGGAGGGATTTGAAAGAGGTTACTTCATTCACTTATCCAAGGAGCATTGTCTCAACTACAGGAGGAACGGACGGACGAGGATGTCAAATCGAGAATCGGGAAGGCGAGAAACACACTCATTAAACTGAAATCAATCTGGAAATCTTCGTCACTCAGCATCAACAACAAAATTCGGATTTTCAATACAAACGTCAAGTCAGTCAGTTCTTCTATATTGATGGATCAGAAACTTGGCGGGTCACCCTTATCAACAGCTGTCTTCGCTCTATACTGAAGATCAGATGGCCGGAAAGAATCACCAACTGGAAACTATGGGAAGAAACAAAACAAGAATCAATCGCCCAACAAATATGCAGGAGAAAGTGGAGATGGATTGGACACTCACTGAGGAGGCCGTTGGGTGACATCGCGCGTCAGGCCAACGCTCGAGTGGAACCCGAAAGGGAAGCGGCAAGTAGGACGTCGAAGGGTGACATGGAGGAGATCGTGTGAAGAGGAGCTGAAACAGTATGGACTAACATGGATGCAAGTGAAAAGTACAGCAGAAGACAGAAACAAGTGGAGATGTGCAGTTGAAGCCCTATGTTTCACTAGGAACCCAAGGGAACAATAATAATGATAATTATAAATACTTTGGTAAATATAGTTACGACTGTACAGCAGCTTATAAAAATGAATCGTCAAAAATAAAATTGTCTTCGCTGTGAACGTCTTTTTATTTTATTAATAAAGAACCAGATTTGGACTTTCAAAACTAATGTCAATTCGTTTTTTCTATGTAGGTTGTAAGCGTCAGAGAAGACAATTTCAACAGGCCACTTCAGACTTTCATCAATATCTGTCTTCTTTCTATACGGAAGATTAAGTGACCCGTCGGAAAGAACATTCAACAAATAGCTGTGACATCAAGTCAGTCAAGAATACAGATGGTTAAATTGGATATATCCTGAGGACATCACATACCGTCGACACTTTAATGGCCAGCCGAATAAGAAACAATAAGCTGGGCTCTGAACCGAGGGTGGTTTGGAGTATATATATGAAACGAAAAAGAGTTTTATCGATAAAATTATTAAATTATTGACTAAAGTGCATGGGAAATCCTTTTTTATTGCTGTTGATTCGTGCTTCGGCTTTTCGTCATACTTTTCCTCCATACTGAAGATCCCATATCCAGAGAGCCTACTCGAATAAGGACTTTGACAGGCAACGAACCAACTACGGGCCTGGCGCCCACCAAATATGGAGAAGGAAGTAGAGGTAGATGGGTTAGGCATTGTATACTAGACCTTTGCTGAAGTGAAACTCTTATGCGTTAAGTGCGGGTCCATAAGTGACATGCAGGAAATCGTGGGATGAAGAGATGAAAACTCATAGGCAATCGTGGAGACAGCTCAAGACGGCTATAGCGAATAAGATTAAATAGGCATGTGCTCCTGAAGTCCTATGTTCCACTTGTAACAGTCAACAGTGGCGCCTCTGGACTCATTGTGTGAAATTGTGACCAGTGGGATTTACTAAGTGGGTGTGAGTTTCGTCTTGCCACCTGAAGGTTAGGTGTTTGAGTCCGGATAGCTTTGTGGGCGCACTGCTGTTGATGAGTCTCCAAATGAGATAAAATATTCAAGCATTTAGTTTGTGGGAATTTGGTTGATTGGTTACAGGATTTCATCATGAGCTGATATTAGTTAGAGAACAATTGGAAAAAAAATAGATAAAATAGTTCTGCTTAGTTTCATCACCAATACATGAATCGTCAATAAAATCTACCTGAAACTCATTTTTGTTTGACTGAATTCTAAAGTAAACTTAAAATTAGAAAATCAAACATTTGAGAAGATGAAATTGAAGACTACTCACTTACTTTGTAGTATCTTTTGAAAAAGTTTTTGTCTTATTATTATTATTCTTATAATCCAATTGATTGCATAATGTTTTATACGCTCTACTGACTAGAATAAAATGTGTTGTAGCTGATTCATCATTTGGGTGTTTATCTGGATGACAACTTTTCGCTAATCGATAATACGCTTTCCGTAAATCCTTGATTGTCACATCAGTTTGAATTTGTAAAAGACGACAGAGCTGTTTAAATTCTTTTTCATTGATCATGTCATTACTCATTATGCTGATTGTGGTTGCTGCTTTGTCGTAGAAGTAGGTTCACTTTTGATGGTTTCAGATTAAAAAAAAAGAAATTAGAGCTGTTCAGCAATCGATTAATCAATCAATCAATCAATAAATTAATTGATAAAGGTATGTAAATTGGTTAGACTTCAAGATGTAACTGAGAAGAATGCGCTGGACAGATGCATTTTTATACACTGTAGCGAAGCTCAATTCTACTTCAGACTACTGAGATTTTAGTGAGAATCAATTAAGAAAAGATTTATTTGCAGATCAATATTTGATAAAGTGATTAGTTTAGTATCACTGATAGATATAATATCAACAATAATAACAAGAACAATTATCTGATTGGATAACTAAATTTTTTTAATTCTTCTATTTGGCGACGATTATAGGGGTGGCTGTGTATTGACTACCGCTGGTATGATTTATAGGTATTTAGTTAGCTTGACAGTAACAGAATATAAGATACTAGCTAAGAGTAGTGTGGATTTCTGTCAGTGCAGAACAATTTCACCATTCCACAATCTTTCACTTGTTTATCATAGGGATTTCATCATCAGTGCGTTTATGATTCATCGAAAATAATACTGTGGAAGCCTTTACCTGTGAAGCTAGATAGGTATATAGGTCGTTCTGCTCTGCATTGCCTTTCAAAATGTGCTAGAAAACACTACCCAAAATAACTGTAAAAAGGTGGCGTTGGTTGAATCAGAAGAGGTGTAACCGCGAACACCTTCAGAACTAGTCACAGAATCACGCAACAGACTTATCATTCAGAGTCATCCGTTCCAAAGAAAATACTTCTGCTTAATCTAGAATTCAAAGGTGACATTGAAGAAGAAATCCTTCTTAAACGCCCCTCCAAATCTCTGAGGAAAACGTACTTCGCCGCTAGCCTACGACTGACGTTTTCCTGCAAGAAACTGTTCATTGATATCAGTAAACATTACTGTAAAGCACTGTGAGACTTTATCAAAACAAAATTAACCCATAATGGAAGAAACTGTTCAACCAGAACGCGAAAGACAAGCTGTCCCATTGGGCCACCTCAAAGTGCATATACCAGTTTACTTGCTTTTGCGGAGCTGAGTACATCGGCCATACCATTCGCCAACTTGCAAAACGCCCTCGTGAATACTATCCAGTCTGGCTAGTAAAAGGAGAACGAAAACGTCTATACAGTTCAGTGACAGAACATCTAGTCAATTCAGGACAATCAGCGCCAATTGAAAAATCCTTCAAAATAATCTACAAGATCCGATCAAATCTATCAAAGCGAGTGAAATTAAAACTTCTGGGCATAGCTGAGGCACTAGCTGTGCGTCGGTGGCACAGTGGTTAGGACTCTCGCCGACCATGCATATGGTCCGGAGCTCGATCCCCTGCTAACGCGCACCTGATATCTATGGTCGGCCTGTTTAATTTGGGCTACCGATATCACATGCTGAAAATCCCACACCTGTACCAAATATACGGTGTGGAATCAAGCTGTAACAAAAAAAGATCAAACCCACACTTTGTATCCAAAGGAAATATTTCCAAACCCTGTCCCTGCTGTGGCCATCATAAACAAGTAATTCTTCCAGTTATGAACATGCCATTGCCTTTCTTATCCAAAGTTCCCGTTTATTCATGTTATTTTTAAGTTTTTCTTAACCCCTATTCACACTACCATATTTTCTTATCCGAACTTCCTGCCTATTTTATCATTTAGTTATTTCTACATATTATGAATTAAAAGTCAATCTGAACGAAGAATATTCTTTTCAATAATTTCTTTTCAGGTTCTTACGATTATAAAATATAATATTTGTTGTCGTTGCAATAAAGCCCAGTTATGCGGCAGATACATTTTTAACGTAGAATACCAGATTAGTTATGGGGTGTCAAAATAAATAGTCGTATTTGTGTGACAAACGTGCTAGGCTGAATTCGATTACAAAATATTGTTAAACGGGAGACAATGGTGATTAATCATAATAAATTTGTAGAGTGTGGGGTAGGAAAATTGAGAAGTCAGTTCAAGGTTATAGAAGGTGTCAGGTGAGTGGCTAGTACAAAGTGGTCTGTGTTTAACAGGAGATAGTAACACTGCAATGGGAGGTTCATAATGAGATAACGAATATGTGAAATGAAACATGTGGAGGCATATATTGAGAAAAGAGATAATATCACTAATAGTAAGTCCGGATAGTATTAACGAAAAATTCGATAGTATTGAGAGAATGTTTGCATGAAGGGCATAAATGATGACGAATAATAATAATAATAATTGTGGTAATAATATTTGTAATAATAAGCAAAGGAAAAACAGCCAAGAGGGTTAAGGGGAAGGAACACTCTTGGTGAGAAGAAGAATCATCAATCCAAGTTTGGCCACGGTAGGAACAGCGTCTGCACGTGTTCTTTTTGTACCTGTCGCATAACTGGCCTTTAATGTTACGACAACAAATATTATATTTTATAATCGTAAGAACCTGAACAGAAATTATTGAAAAGAATATTCTTCGTTCAGATTGACTTTTAATTCATAATATGGGAATTTTCCACACTATCAAATCTTATTTCTACATATTTAATCCCTGATTGCATAAACAATTATTCGTCACATTAGTTATGATTCAACTAGATTATTTATCCAAGCATCCTGTCTATTTTTGCTATTTCTACATTTCTAACCACCAATTGCAGAACACGTCAATCCTCTCAGAAATTATGATGCTACTTTGTTTCACTTTTATCCGTCCCACTGTTTATTATATGGCATTTAAATTCCTTATTGTAAATTTATTAATTTGACACTTAACCGGATATTATTATTCTGGAACTTTACCATCCATTTGATATAAATACACGAATGTACAGCGTTGTTATTAATAAACAGGATTATTGTTATAATGAAATAAGGATGATGAGAATATTAATAACAATAATAGTAAACCTACATAATAAAATGAGGCAAAATTATGGTATTAACGTTAACTGTTAGAATGCTCGGGCAATTGGACACAGATGGTTTCAAATCTCAAATAGGAAATGAGTCAGCTGTGCATACATGACGTCTTCGAAGTCCTTCCATGAAAATTTGAGGTAATATGTGTAGCACTGTAAAGCATTCGTGAAAAGGGTCATGATATCTAAAGTTCACAAGGTGTTCGGTGATGGAGCCAAAGAATTCTTCTTCACAAATCCACCTGACTAGCCAAGCTGTAAAGTGTTCCACAATGATTCTCTAACTACACGTTGCGTCCGCTCAACATACTTTGCGAACCAACAAGAAAATTGATACACACACATTGAGGTGGCCAAATGCGGTATCGTCAGACCGATGTTGACATACTCAACCGTGTGATATGACTGTGGTTGAAAGGAGGCTGCTGAGGCAAACAAATGAAGGAAATGATCACCTCTCGCACATTAACTCCGTTGATACTAATCCATGCTCGTTGTGGTTGGCTGAATATCTTCATTGTCACTGGCTTCTTTATCTTTACTAGAAATGCTGTCATCGCTGCTGACCTGCTCTTACAGCTTGTCGATTCTCGCCTGTATATCTGTGAATTTCTGTCACAAAATACATCAGTCGTCCTCGAAATCCATGTTGACTTGAGTCCTCTTGTCAGTCCTGCGTATTCTTGTCTCCTCGTTCCCCTCATTTCGCTTCGTAATCCGACCCACTAGAATCACGAATATCATCGATGATGACTTAGTGTATAACTGCATGTACTGTACAGCAAACCAATGGAATGAGCTTCATTCATAATACAAATATGATCATCATCATCTTCATCATCATCATCAAATATTACTCAAAATTGGAGATCACATGGCTGATGTTATTTGTTGTTTATGTAATAAGATGAAAATTGGCATCGCAGAAGAAGAAAAAGAGAAAGAAGAAGAAGTATGAGAAGATGGCGAGAGCGAATTCAGAAGTTAATTAATGAAATTCTATGGATTCACTCACCTTTTGATAACGTTTAAAATTTTGTGGTTTTGTTTTTATCCTTCGATAATAATAATTATAATGACACTAACTATTAATAGTTTTAATGAGATTCCAATATTTACTTTTGTTTCAAGATAGCGCAGCTAATAAAGAAAACAAAAATTTAGGTGAATGGGTCAAAAGAGTTTCTTCTACCGTAATGGTAAACAAGTCTACAAATGTACATCTAATCAATAAGAAATTCGTTTTCATGATGGCGCACACAGAACTGTTAATTCAGAATCACTCAATAATGTGAACAATATAAGTAATGGCTGTTATCACTCCTTTCCTCGGTTACGAGTAGAACACAGACCTTTAACTACTACTGACGTGAAGGTAAGAAGTGAAGTGGCAGAGCATGTTTACGGCTTCAATTATTTGTAAAGTTGCATCAACATCAACGGATAAGTGGTTATTGAAGGAATCTCAGCACGGATGCCAATGGTCCGTGTGGCAGTTTCCAGCTGTCAATCAAATGATGTGCGTACTCTCCGCCTTTACCACAGTGAGACGTGGCCATTGGAAGTGGAGGATATGGAAATGTTATCTAGGTGTCTGTGATCCGAAGTGTCTGCATGTCATCTTGGGAAAGCCGATTGATTTACTGTTTACGTGTGAATAATGAATACTTGCGTAGAAATAATTATTCTCCGTTTTATTGAATTTAGAGGTCAACAGTAGATTGACTGAACAAAACAGTGGTTAGATCGCATAAATAATATTGAGTGACTGGTGTTGGTTGTAATCGCATTTCACAAACACTATCACTCTGAGTACACAGACAAATTGATGGATGCCAACTGTGAAAATTTGTCGCACTAATAACAATTTTACTGTGAAGATAATGTGCTGCATTAATAAGTGAGTTGAACATTTTGTTGAAAATATCTGGACTGGTTAAACCTCTGCCGTATGACATCTGATATGTCCACTGATAGACAGCAAGTTGATTAGCAAGTCGATTAGCATTTAGTCGCTTACTATCTGAGATCACGATAGT